ATATATATATATATACACATGTCATCGCATAAATACAGACACACAGACACACAGACACACGCGCACACACACACACAAACACACATACATACATACATACATACATACATACATACATACATACATACATACATACATCCATGCATGCATGCAGACAGACAGACAGACAGACAGACAGACAGACAGACAGACAGACAGACAGACAGACAGACAGACAGACAGACATCCATCCATCCATCCATCCATCCATCCATCCATCCTTCCATCCATCCATCCATCCATCCATACATACATACATACATACATACATACATACATACATATGTGTATATGTGCACACATACAATGTATGTTGTAAAAATACATTTTATAATACAGACTTTTTAAGTACACACATACCTAAAGATGAGCAAACCGAATGAATCGAAAGCAACAGGAAAGAGCGAAACTCCAGGTGGCATCGGCTCACCAGAGACGCGGCTGCTTCGGCGGCTCAGCGAGCAAAATGGCCTCGCGCATGCCGGCACGTGCAGGGCAACCCGGCTTCCTGTCATGAGAAACTGAGAAGCTAAAGGTTCAAAAGCAGATTAGGTTCTATATAGCTGTTAAGGTTCAGAGTTTTCGACAAAATTGGTAGGTTAGTGGGTGACTACGTCACTTGAATATTCCGGGCCACGGGAACTGAGTGTTCAGACAATGGGCCAATGGGTGGTTTGGCTTTCGGGCCTAGCGTTTGGGGATCTGAGTTTAGGGTTTAGAGTCAGGGGCCGTTGCAACTTCAGAGATTTCTCCCAACCCCTTGACACTGCAAGGCTTCCATTCACTTTGGGCTTCTTGGACGGTTGGGCCGTGCTCCCCGTCCACCCGGAGAGGGTCATGGAGGAGTGCTGGTCAACGCCCAGAAACAGCTATTTTCCCAATCTAGAACCGAACCATTGTCGGGACCCTTTGAGTAACCCTTGCAGAAGCCCTTGTAGTAATACCGCCATACCCTTAGGGTAACTTTTGAGGAACCCTTGCTAAATCCTAAGCCCTCAAGGAACCCTTCCTCTGTCGATGTCTTTTTGGGACCTTGGAGGAGCTTCGGCTGTCGTTGGAGGTGTTGAGACGACCTTCCGTATCAGCCGTGTCCATGCGGCACAAGCTGCTTGCCATGGGTCTGCCTGGGTTTAGGGGAGTCCATCTAATAAGGTAATGGTCACAGAAGTATTAGTAATAGTCACGGTATTCATAACAAGATTACGAGCAGTAATGAATAATAGGAAAATACCAGTAATCATAAGACGAAGAGTACGGAGAAGAATACGAATAAGACTAGGAGTGATAAGAACATTAAGACTGGTGCGATTGACAACAGTCACAGTAACACAACACTGTCACAACACGCAGACCGCAAACGCACGTCCGTTCTTCATAACGACCAGGACCATGGCATCGTCGCGGAGTGTCTAAAGGGTGTGCGGTGAACCTCCCAAAGGATGTCCGAAGGCCCGCCGCCGATGATCATCAGCACAGCACCGCCATGAACGGCGCAGCAGCTGCTGCAGCCGCAGCAGCGCAACAGCTACAGCAGCAGCTGGCGCTACCGATTATCGCTGAGTCTCGACATAGTCCAAGTTCATGTCACAGAGTCTATTTTTGTTGCGGCTACGTTGTATCATCGTGCCAATAAACCCGTCTTCCAATCGCTTCAAACTGTGCAACTAAGGACCAGTCGGGAAACCTTTGGCTTCAGCCAGTAGATCCACGAGTCAATTGTGTGTTGTCCATGATAGGTGTTTCCCATTCACAGTTCATTGCAATGTTCACCAAACTTCTTCATTGCAAGATCTCTTTGCTATCGAAGGTCGCACCCCCCGTGGCGCCGCCCGTTGACATAGCGTCTTTCGGCGCAAACCTTCATGCAGCGATCGACTCCACGTTCGCTTGACTCCCCTGGACGATTCGAAGGTTATGGCTGCAACAGGGAGCGGCCCGCAGGGGCGGCTGAGGCGCATTGTCTCATACATCGTCGCTAGCCCGCGGCGCACCGATGACTTTCTTTCGTCTTTGTGGTGCTGGCCCAACGACCCAGTAGGTGCAAAGCTCGAAGAAAACTGAGCCGGGTGTTCTGATGTAGGCTGCTTATGCAGCAATTATCAGCTCGGGAGGTGGGGCGGTTTCGTGGCCGATCAGGTGTAAGATAGTAGTAGTAGTAGTAGTAGT